GCTCAATGAGACAGCTAACAATGGGACAGCTAATCTATGCTTTGAAGGAAAATTTTTTTTGAAGCTGAGACATCAAATAGGTTTTGTAATTCATTTACTATCTGTTGTGTTACCGCCGTTGCTACAAGACATAGTATGAACAAGTTTTTTTTTCTAAAAACTTTTGAATTTCATTGCTATTTGGCTTCGTTTTTGAATTTAAAATTGTGCTTTCAGGCTGAAAATGAAGTAGTGACTGTTTTCCATAGAGCATGCTCTAGAATTTTAACTTTTCAACAAACTGCCTCGTTTCAGAAGCGTCTCGTTTCGTTTTGATTGTTGTATTTTTTTACTCGGGTCATTTCATTTCATTTTAAAACGGTCTCATTTTCAAAGAGAATGATATCTGTAAAATATACAACAATAAAAAGTCTGATACACTTGTTCTGACAACTAACACAAATTTGTAAAATGATGCTCAATACAAGAAGGAAGTAATTTTGCTCTTTTTTGTTTCTGTAAAGTGTCAACCAAGCTAGGACATTTTCCTGCTTTTTGCTTTATGGAAAAGATCCGAAAAAACCTTGAAATGTAAAAAACTCTAAAAAAAGATGTATTTTTTCTTCGAAACCCGAAAAAAATGTTTATCAAGTTCAATGACAATTTCTTATTTCAACTTATGCTGACTATGTTTTGATTCCATAACATTTTATCTGTTTCTGTTCTTGTCAAGTAAAATAAGGTTTGTTTAATTTTTGATTAAGAAAATTTTACAAATTAAACCCAGTATAAAACAGAGCAATTTGATAATCCATAGTGTGAGAATATTTTTATGACAAATACTTGATAAAGCTTGTCTGGTTACATAATGCTGTTCTTTTTTCTTCACATTTTTATTTTTGAATGATTGACAAATTACCGCTTTCTCTCTTCTGTTATGTCTTAAACTGTAAAACTTGTAATTCTTCTTTGCAAAAAAATTGTAACGGTTGTCCTTAGAAAAACTACAAATGAGTTAAAAACGACTATATTGATTCTACTAACGACAATTAAAGAGAATTTACTAGGGATTTGTCTTTTTAATTGTTTCTAGTTTTAATTTCAAATTAATATGAACATGAACAGTCAATCTATAAAACCTCAAAAATCTACTAAAAATCATTTTCCTCAAATCCACCGCACCCAAGTTAATCGTTAGAATCAAATTTTCAAACTGTTAATGGCCTTGAGTACTTTTATAAAAATGCTGTTTTTGCACTGCTTTTATTGGAATGAAATTATTTTGCCGAAGGCTTGCAAATAAATTTTGACCTGAAAGGTTTTGATCTAAAATTTCTCACACAAGAAATAAGTCGTGAAATATTCTCACTCAATTTCGTCATTGGAAACTCACTCATATCATGCACTCAACCTGATTTTTTTATATCGACAATCAACGACTTTGGCAAGTTGAATTTTCTACTAGATTTTAGCCCGCAGTTTTCTGATTCTTAAACTCATGACGAAATGAATTCACTACAAAACTAAAATTTTTAGTCTAAATGAATAAAATAAAAACACATCTTTTCTTCTCTTGCATTTTCATGGTTAGAAAGACTCTAAAAAAGTAATCAAGCTCAAACTGGATTTGTTTTGCGATTTGACTTATGTATTGTTTTGAAGTCATAGTGAAATCAAGTTGCTAAAAGGAATGGATGACTTTGTTTCAAAACTGATTTCGCTTTCTAAGAGACGAGGAACGAGTCCATATTTTTTTTTGTTTTTCCTCTACAGAAAAAAAAATTAAAAGCTCTACGGGCGATAAACTATTTTTTCAATTTCAATTTTATACAAAAGCAGATTAATAATTACATCGGGCAAATGGCAAAAAAAACAAATTTTTGAGCAAATTTTTCTATAATCGATTGATGCGATTTTCTATAATCGACTTTGTGACTTGTTACGTTTTATCTTCATTTTCATTAATTTGAATTCACAAAAAACTGGGAAACTAAAAACGTTGCAATTTTTAAACTACTAGGCACGGAATCTTGAATTTAATAAATGCGACGAACTGTCATCGTTCCAACAAACGATGAACTAAATTAAACCATACTTCAAAATGTTCAGAACAAACCAAGTAGGAGCGGTCGAAGTTGAAAAAAAAATCTGCTTAGTTTTTTTAACCGGGCTGCGCCAAAGTGGCTGTCGTAGAACTTTTCTTATAAGTTTTTCACATTTCTTACCAAAAAGGCTCTAAGAATGTTATAAGGTAGGGAACTATCTGGCAAAAAATTGTAAGATAAGAAAAAAATTTGCCAAAAATATTTTCATGGTTATTTAAAAATACTTTCACACAAATACTTTCCTACATACTTTCCTGTTGCAGAGTAAAATAATGAAATCTCGTAGGCCAAGCAACTCGTTTAGCTTCATTAGTCTACTGCACAAACCAATGTATTTATAAGGTTTTTTTGCTGATTACTAAAAATTTTGTCAATATAAACAGGGATCCCACACACATTACATCCGCAACCATATGAAATGATTCGCCAAAGTTGATTTTTTCTTTTCTCCAAAAAATTTCAAATCGTTTATTACGTATAACTGGGTGACTCATTAAAAAAATCAGATTTTGTAATTCGGGTTTTTTTGTTTAACGAAATGCATACATGATAAGCACTATCTGAAAATTCTTACATACAACAAAAACTTTCCGAAACTGATTTTTATCTGTTATTACGGTTAAAAAAACACATTGAAAAAATTTCTTTTTTTTTTGAACGCTATCTTTGTCTTTTCATTTGCATTGATCGTTACGACAAAAATTTTTAATAAGTGTAATGACTTGTCTCTCTATTCCACTCTATTCAAACATCAAATGGTGCGCTCATCCAGTGTAAAGCTTGGCCTCGTAATGAATCCAAAATTTTATCTTGGGTCATAAAACTTTATGAAATCTGATTGGAATGAATTTTATTTTTCAGTGTCGATTAACGAATAGAAGACAGTTCTTTCAGGTTTTTGTTTGGGTATGAAAAACGATCTGAAAAATCATGCGGGAATTTGATTTTTGCGGTTTAAATTTTTATTTCTGCACAATTTCAATTCAAAATAATTTGCTTAGAGGAAGATAATTTATTTTCTCTTCTGATTTTCAGCAGAGGCGAAAACGCTAATGGCGTAAAGGCAAAAACTGTGAATGAACTGTTGTTTGAATAAATAAAAATAAAACTATTATTGATCCACTTTCAAAATTCTTATTGATCCATTTTTTTCGTTATCGGGCTTTATTTATAAGAAAATCTCTATCGTAACTACTGAAGAAGTTCAACCGATTTTATCGTCATGAATTTAGTTTTCGAATTGTTTTTCGATTGTTTTCTTTGAAATGTTGTATTATTGCGAAATACTACACACACAAACAAAAGACCATTGTCTTAATTGTTTATTTAACGACCCAATTCTAAATTGGAGCGTGCCATTTAAATTAAAGCCTCTTTTCACTAAATCAGATATTGACTGATTTACTCTTATTAGGACTATAAAATCTTGTTTTGAAAATCCACTCCTTTTTAAATACTTGTCCAATTTTTCTCATTTTTTCATGCTCAATATTTTAAAAGGGCGGCGATTATTAATACGTCCCTTTTAACTTAACTTGAAACAAACTGGATAAATATTTAGCAGTCTTGCCGGCTGCACTGAAATTCTCCTTGCTTTGATTAAGCAGAGGTGCACCTGCAATATGATGCATCAGAGAGAGTAATATGAATTTTTAATAAGACAAACTGAAGGCTGCGGTTTTTATCAAAGGGGACTAATAAGTTGAAGATATTTGATTTGAAAAAATCAAAAAAAAACTAGTTGAAAATTCCCTTATTAAAAAGGGAGAACAAAGGAGCAGGTGAAACCTGAATAATTAAAGATTGAATCAGCCGCCGGTTTATGCTTACGAGCAAAAGGACTGGCCTGAAATCTTCAGTGTTTCATTTTGCTCAGTCAGCAGCAAGTCATTTCTCTTCAGTCAAATCTTTTAAAAATAAATAATTTTTCTTTTCTGCCCTAACACTAAAATTAATCTAGCCCTTTTCATTTAAAAAAAGAGAATAAATTCTCAGTTTAAGTTTGATTTGAAAAATTATAAATCGAGATACTCGAGATACGCACCCCCGAGGAAGTCTGGACTACAAGTACCCAAAGGACTACGGCAAGACGATTCAGACGACCCAACCAGAAGTGCTGACTTGGACAAACATCAAGGGCAACCATACATACTAATCAGCCACCGACCTTAGTAAGAAGATAAAATATTGATGAACAAAATAAGATTAGCTCAACCTCCCCTCATAGGTATATTTCTTTAAGCTGTTCGATTCATTTATATAATCTAATAACCCAGTGCTCTGTATCTAACCAACTAATTAATTCATACCTTTTCTAACTATTGTTTCTACTCTAATTTTTGTCAAGACAATTTGACGATCTAAGGTGAGACTTATAATTTAGGATAAAATTACTAAGCATTCAACCAGCAATGAGCGCTTAGTAAAACTGGTGCGACCGCAGCAGAGAACTACTCCTTAAGAAATTCTTTTTCCAACAAACTAGAAACAGCTTTTAAATTTCAAAAAATATAATATTCTTAGGATCTGTGAGTATTTGTCAGATTAGTTTTCAACCTCAAAAAGCCAGAGACAATGGGTATCTTTCGATAGAAACACAATTTCATTGTCTTCTACTTGACAGATATTCCTGGTAGGGTTCTTGCGAAATGCATCCCCTGCGCTAGCAGTCGCCCACGATATCCCTCCATCTCGAGGTCTATTAGACGGCTTTCTAACTGATATTAGCTCATGAACTTAACTATTATCTATTATTATAATAATATATAAAATTTCTGAAAGAATCGTTCTCTGCCTAAGTCCGCTAGTAAGATATACACGTTTTGTCCAGTAATCCACTAAAGTTTTGCCGAAACTTCAGTTTAAAGTTATCATCACTAAAATTAACGAAATTCTGTATTAAACTAAAGTGCTCAAAAACTTATTAAATATCTTCATTTATTTTTTCGAGGGGGTTAAGTGGTCATATGTGCGATCTAAGAGTACCCTAAATTGTATGATAAATTGAATTCTTCATCACATTATCTCAAATCATCCACGCTTGTTGCTATTTATTCTAATCCTTCATCATTTCTCGAGGCTTATCCTCATTTTTTCTTAAACTAATTTTAATTCTATCCACCTTAACATAACTTAAACCTAAATCATCCATCAGTAAAACTACCAATTACTGAAACTAAGGAAGAAAATAACAAAAACCACGAAGGAAGGAACGGATTTGGGTGTTTTTTAATAAATTATTAGTTTTTTTTAACACAGTTTAAATATACACCTAATAAACAATAAGATTACGCACTAAAACCAATCTTAAACGTTAACCACATAACACCAAACACCAAGTTTTAGTTTCAGCACAAAAATATCAGGTTTCACAACAAAAACTAAGTTTAAAACACTGACACATCCACTTTATATTGATAAAATAGGTTTCATATGATAGCATAAGCACTAAAAAATTGATTTTTACCAGCCAAAATTTTTGGTTTCAGTCTAGGTTTCAGTTATAGGTCCAAACGTTTCAGTTAAAATAAGTATAGTTTCCGGTCAAAATTTCAAGTTTCTGTAAACGGATTCGGGTAAAACAGCAAAAATTGAACTAGTCAAACCCAAATTTGGATACCATAAGTCAAACACCTGGTCTTAAATGGTACGTTTTTGTTAGTTTCAGGTTTCAGAACACAAAAATTGAGTTTTTGGTCTCAAAATTGAGCTCCGAACGCCGAATTTTGACTTTCTAAAGAAAACTAACGGTGTTAAAACCCACCAAACCAATTTTAAATGTTGGTTCCTAAGGCTGAAACGTACGTTTCAGAATTGGTGTTTTTGGTTTCAGAACCAAAAATCTTGCTTCCCGAGAAAAATTTTTGTGAAATATTGAAAGATAATAAGAATCTTTAATGCACTAACAAATTTTTAAACTCAAAAAACTTCTAGAAGGTGTTAGTTTGAGCCCTCAAACTTATAGTTTCAGAAAACTAAAATCGTCGTTTTAGGCTAAAATTTTCATCTTTTTGGCAATTTTATTGCTGGAATAGAAATATATCAGGGAGACCAACCTAAATTTTCAATCTCAAAACTCTAAAACCAAGTGGTCAAAGCATAGTTTCAGTTCTAGAAATCATAGTTTCAGCCCCAAAAACTTAGGTTTCCGCAAACAAATTTTTGATTTTGAAGTTACAAACCTGTTCAAAATTCTAATTTACACTAAGCCAGCTATCAAAAACCATTTTTTTATTTTCATGCACCGAGTTTGAGAGAGTTTAAGAGTTTTAGGTTTGAGTTTTCAAAAACTAAGTTCAAGATATCAAAAGATTCGGTTTTCTCGAATTTTTTTGCAAGATAAAGCAAAAACCAGATATAATAAAGCGTATAGAAAATTTTAAGATTAAAAAAAAAACTCAACTTCAGCTACCATAGTTTCAGGTTTCAGATTATCGTTTCAGTCAAAAAATTTTCTTTAAATTTTTAACAAAAAAATTAAGTTTTGAACCAATAATAACCAATAAAGGCATATAGTTATATTGTTAACCATACCATAGCATCAACAAAACTTCACTTGAACAAAGTTTCAGGTTTCAGTTAAACTTTCAGCGAATAAAAAACTTGAAAAACTTAGAAAAAATTTTAGAAAAATTTTTTTCCAAAGAAATTTTTTTATTTTCTTATCTTATTATTAATAACCTTTGTTAATATTCAATAATTCCTAAGAGGTTTTCATTACTTTAAAACATACTATTTAAGTAGTACAACTTTGCTTAAGAAAAAGAAAACAAACATCGTAAAAATTAATGTCAACACATTTTAAAATTGACGTCAGTACAACAAATTTAAAACTCAAATTAGGAAATAAAGTCTCTAATATCATATGGTATATCACTAACACTGAAAAAGATCATATTAGTATATTAGCAAAACACCCTAACGAAGATAAAAACGAATTATACGTCTTCTTTCGTCGATATACTCCAGAAATTGACACAATTCTTCAGCAAATAAAAATACCAAATAACATAATTTGTATACCGGAAGAGCGATTAATTGCTTCACTCCCGATTGCTTTCTGATATCATAATATACCCAAGCACAAAACTACTTGCATTTTAATCATTTTTAATTAAAAACACAAAATTTTCCTTAACAAAAATTAAAAATAATAACAAGTTCATAAGAAAAATTTAAATATTTTTCATATTGTTTATCATTCCCTAGATAAATATTTATGTCCCTAAAAGGATGTAAAATGCTATGACCAACTTTTATCAAGTAAATACAACAGCATTTAAATTAAAACTAAAATTGAAAAATAAATCCACAAAAATTATTTGGTATATCACCAATATCCAAAAAGATCAAATCACAATTTTGTCCAAACACCCACACAAAAATATTCACGAATTAACCATTCTTTCCAGCAGCAATACCCCAAAGGTAACTTCCATCTTAAAAAAGCTTAATCAGCCCCATAGCACTATTGATCTATCTAACAAAAATTCGTATTCATTGAACCCAGCAAACTTCATTGTAACTTAAATACAATTATTTCAGTCCGAACAATTGATCAGTACACAACACATCCAAAACCCTTTATATATTGTTAACAAAACATTGAGTGAATTAAACAAAAATGGCAAATGTAGTAGCATACCCAGATTTAGCTCTCGAAAAGTTTACCGGCTTAGACCCGAATGAAGATGCAAGAGATTTTCTTGATATAGTAGAGAAAAAGATAGCATTTTCCCTAGGCACTAGACCAGGAGATGCAGGTGACGAACAAGACGCATATGATAACAGACAAAGAGCCTTATTTGGTTCAATATTAAGAGGTCCAGCCGCTCAATGGTATCAGGGATTAGCAGCAAACTTACCTTGGAATGATATAAGAGATCAATTCATAGATAGATTCACTGATGATAAGGATAAATATAGGAGACGAATAGAAGCAGAAAACATAAAAAGACAACCTGATGAATTCATTAAAAGCTACATACATAGATTAAGCACCGCAGTAGACCGTGGATGGCCTAATCCAACTTTTAATGATGATCAAAGAACAGCAAAGAAAATGGAATTCTTTGTACGCGGCTTAAGCCCGCCAGGCTTGAAACAAAAGGCTCATCAATTCCTAATTGAGAATCCACCCGCAACTTGGCAACAATTAAAAGATCATATTGCTACAAAAGACTTAAGTTTTGCAATAAGTAGTGAATTTATCGGAACAGCATCTAGTAGCATAGAAAATAAATTGGAAATAGAGGGAATAAAGAATCAACTGAAAGAGTTAACAGGACTAATGAAGGATCATAAAATAAACGCAGCCTATAATCCACATGAGCATAGAAACAAACAAAACAACCCAATGTTTTGCAACTGGTGTTGCATGTCAGGCCACACGATAAGCCATTGCTTTAAATATAACGATCAACAGGAGCAAAATTATAACTCGCTTCAATTAAGAGAGAATTCAAACAGAAGTCACCATAACTATAGTAAGAATAGGTCAAGAGTAGACAACAAATTCAATGACATAAATCCCCAACAAGAATTCAAGCATTTGTCAAACTTCAATGAAAGTTCTCAACCGCGTGACAATTCGAACAGTGAAAAATCCTTCAACGAAAATAACGATTGTCATTCACCTTACCAGATCCACAACTTTAGTGATGATAACATTCCAGGAGACTATACCGATAATGAGTGTGAACTTGTTAATTTAAACTAGATCAGTCTCCGTCCGAACCAAAAATACAATTATAGATTAACTTATACCAACATCCCGTCGGAGACAAAAATAAAAATAACGGTCTGGAAACCCAATTTCTACTAGACACTGGAGCAACATGTTCACTTATTAATTTTGACAGTTATGAACAATATTGTAAAATACAGCCTCTACAGCTGAATAAATCTAGATCAAACACAGTTGCTGTTAATGGAGAAAAGCTTAAACTTATAGGTTATACCAATTTTGACTCAACTTTTGGTACAAACACTGATAATCCGGTAAAAATCAAAGCATGGATTTCAGCCGAGAACGGATGCGATCTAAATATATTAGGAATGGATTTCATTTTTCACAACATTAAATCAATAAACTTTCCAAATTTAAACTTAGAATTAAAAAAGTACCCAGATTTAACAGTTCCTATCAGTATTATAAGAAGCAAAAGTTATCCATATCTAAGCTTTTATCAAAATGTACTTCTCGATAAAAAAATAACTATTGCACCACAATCATCCCGCGTAATTTCAATTTCTCCAGCAGGCATAGTTTTCAAAGCAGGAACATCGTTTAGAATTGATAAGTCCTTAGAACAAAAAGGAATTAATGCAAAAAGCACTTAGTGTAGGAATGAAATTAAGTCAATGCCTATCGTACTTAAAAATTCCAGAGAATCAAAAGTAAATATAAACAAAGGTGTAATAGGCCAAACGTTTGAAAACATAGAAATAAAATAAACCCATTTCTTCCTGTTTTGAAATATTTATAAATGTGAAGTTTTCATTAAAGATTTTATAACGCTTTAAGTTTGTGAAATTCACCTAGCGTTTTGTATACTGGGCAGTAAACTTTGTTTAAAATTACTAAAAAATTAGATTACAAATATTATCCTACAAATGTACTACAATGAATAGCTGTTCTGTATGACACCCAAAAGGTTATGCCAAAATGCATGAACACGGATTTAATTCTTAACCGAGATCGAAAACAGTCAAGTACGCTAACAGTTTTGGACCATCCTCAAAATCAAAAAAAGATAGAGGGATCGGAACCCAATGGCTCAGACAAAAAAAGTTTTTCGACTTCAACATATTTGGAAAAAAAATTGCAAAAGGCCAGGAGTTTCAAATATTTCAGTTTTACGAGTCTATATTAATTTCATTTTCAGGCGGTTTTATTAACTGAAAATTCAGTATTACACTTAAGGGAATG